TGATGAAACAGTTATGAGTAAGGGAAGAGCGTTTAGCTCAGACTTCTTTAAACGGTTCATTAGATGAGCAGTTTGAGTTTGTAATTATATGATTACCATCCAACTTTGTGAGCTTTTCTTGGTTTGTCTAGATGTTGTTCCGATTGGATTGTAAGGCCAAGCCAAACTCCAAATTTCTTGGATTTGTCTTACGTCTCATCCTTTATACTCGATCATAATCGTTTCTCATTTGAAGTTTTCATTTCTTTGCATACTTTGAAACTTCACTGCTTAGAAGTTCTCATCGGATTGCAGAGGTGTTTCGTGATTATGACTACGGGAAGATCGCTCTGTTAATCTGCTTTGATTTCTTCTCTCTTGAACTGTTCGATAGATTAGTAGATTGTGTTTGTGTGAAAGCGGTCTCGGATAAGTTTGCGAGATAGTATTCATTCATTCATTTCATTCGTAAATAGTATCATTGAAAGTTGTTGAGATGCTCTTATGAGGTTCTCAGCTTTCTTCGGTTTGCTTTCTTCAAAAACTAACTGACTATCTTCATTACATGGTCGTTCTTAACTTGTGCGGTCATTCGGTTGAGGAAGAGATTCTTAGTGGACAGAGCTTGCGATTTGAAGTATGGAATTCGTTCAACTATTTTCATTNGTGAGAGGCGATTGGAACAGCTTTACTCTTCTGCTTGTTAACTTCGGTGGTATGGGGTGTGTGTGATAGTGATCGCTTAACTCCTCTCATTGGTTGTGCCCAATAAGGGGAATTCCTCTAGTGTTCGCTCTATTGCGAACCTAGGAGGAAGAGGAAATAGTGACGAGCAGATGCTCTTAAAGTAGTCTTGGTAGTTCTTGCAATTGAGATTTTTAGAGTTTTTGGTTGTTAGTGTTGATTGCGAGTCCCTTGTGTTGTTCCTTTGAGAGAGGTTTTCTGTGTTATCGATTTCTTATCAAACTCATTCATCTTCTCATCAAGTTGCATTCTTCATTTTTGTCTGATTGGAAGTTTATGAAAGAGGGACTCTCTGAATACTCGGTCGCACTG